AATAGAACACAAAATAAATTATTAAAACGTTTCTATTACTAGTGCAGATATTTCCTTTTAACTNGTCAGAACGACAGAATTAATGAATTAATTAATCATATTTTCATCTGAAAATTTCGAGTCAAATTTCCCTACCAGTAAAGTCAAAACGTTGGATGAATTCCTTCGCACACAAAATGTCTGCTATCGAACGGGCCGTTGTTTTAATGGGAATTAGTTCATGAGCAGTTTTCGGCTTCTCAGAGATGCACCCTTCGTGCATTATAAACGACATCTGTCTTTTCTAGTCGAAGAGATTGCGTTTGATCACATTAACGGCGTACAATGATTTATGTCCGCGTTTTTGAAATAACTGATTTGTGATTGCTCGGATTAAAACTTTGATGTAAGCGTGTTTCTGTGGTGTGTCATTGACCGCGCTCTTACTGACCTGAATCATGCGTATTGCTATTGGTACATTACAATGGATGCGGCAAGTTTGTAATCGTTAATTGATACCTTGACTGCAATTTCTTTATTTTTAATTCCTAGTGGAAACCGCTTCCCAAGTACAATCATCTTTTTGAAATATGTGCTGAAAGTTCGACATTGTACAAGTTTAACAAGTTGTCTGCTTCCCCTCGTTAATTCTTAATTCTTCTGGGGTCATGAGTGACCCCAACGATGTACTTTTATTTTAATTCGTAGTCAAAGTTTATTTTAGTTTTAAAGTATTTCTAAAGTTTATTAATTATTATCTTATACATCAATTAAGAATAAGAAACAATAGATAGTTTGTCTAGAATTAGATTAAATCAAAAATTTGTTTGATTGCAGACATACTAGTCCTGTGATACTAAACCGTTTCTGTTACGTTCGCAACACTCTCGTGACTCATACGCTTTTCGTTACTGGAACAGATTAAAACAGACTGCAGCGTCCCACCAGATAAAAGCGTTATTAACTTTTACTGCAATGATACTACAATATTTACAGTAGCAATAGTGTAGTACACTTGAGTTATATTCGTTCAGTTGCACGCAATAATCAATGCAATTGCGTCATGCATTAGAGCAATTGAGAAACGTTTAGAAGCGTTCATATTGTTGTTGCGATATTTACATCTAATGATTTATTTATGTCGGTAAGAAACTAGGAGTCAACAAAATGATTTTTTCACAAGTATTAGAAGATCTATTGATTTGATTGGATAATAGATTAAATTTAAATAATATTGAAAATATAATAAATACATTTTAGCAAAATACTCTTTAATCCTGAATAATTGTTTTTTTATCAAATTAATTATTACGCGAATATGTTCGAGCGTTATATTACAATTAATAAGCTTTTTAGATTCTAGC